TGCTGGTCCAACTGCCATTGGTGGTTTGGCCACTGCTGTCTTTACTGCTGCTGCTACCCAGGATGCAAAACATGCTTGTTATACCTCTGTGAGGACACATTTGCGCCACCAGAAGATTGTTTCTGTCTGCTTCACTTTTTCTGTTCCAGAAGGCAGGGTAGCTTCATTGGCATAAAAATTCTTGTGGATGCACATCTCCACTAGGGGGCTGTCTTGATATAGGTATGCCAGCCTAGCAGAGTGCAAGGAGGCTCTAATGCAGACAAGCCCCATGTCCAGTAAAGCACTGGTTAATAACATTTCTTTGATAAGCCGTGCTATCTCCTGAATAATTATGAGAAATCATTTTTGATTAATGAGAAAAGAACAAATTCCTTATTCCCTAAGACTTCACCCTTGTAACCATAAGTACACCTGGTACACAGGGTATTTGACTTATATGGTAACCCTTGTAAATGATGAGCAATACACATCACTGTTGATAAGTCATGTATAAAAGTCATGACTGCTTCTTCTTCTAGATGATATTGCACATCAGCAAAAAGTATCCTGTATTATATTCTTCCTTATGTGCTACCCCTGCTTTCCCCCGCCCCATTACAACTGATGCAAGTGTCAGGAAACTAAGCGTGTGTCTGATTCAGTACTAAGTACAGTGTGATAAACTGTGCATAAAACAGTTGCCAACAACTCAAGAATGCCAGAACAAGAAACGGGTAGCCCATTTCTTGGGCTACCTTCAGATATAAACTATGCTTTCAGAAATTGTTCAGGTAAATTAAATTACTACATAATGCAGGGCAAGGAACTCTATTTCTTTTCTGAAAAAATAGCTACATTTCACAGGAGACAAATAAAGCAAGGCCCATTGGAAAAATTAAAACATGAAACAATGAGGTTTCTATCCTGCAAAATGATTCTTGGATTTTCATCTCATTTTTCCATGGAAACCCATTGACATCAGACATAAATTTTAGTTCCTGTAACAGAGCCTGGGGTTCTCTGTTCTTTTAAAGGAAGCAGCAGCTCAGTGAGGGGGCACTGCAGGCCAGGCAGGGTGCAGCAGCTATAGGTCATACCGGCAACAGGGCAAATATGCCAATTGGCAGTTTGCTGACCAGAGTGGGCAGGGCCCTGGGAGGATATAAGCCTGAGGCTTGGGCTAGCAAGCTAGCCTTTCCTTAGTAGCTGCAGGGTGAAGAGGTCCCAGCAGCAGGGCTCCTGAAGGGACTGTGGTGCTGCACTTGGATCCCCGGTGAGGCTGGGGGATCTCACTAGGGTATACCTCAAGGTTGGGAGGCTATCCTAGGTGAGGGATGAGGGAAAGTTTTCCCTCTTAAAGGGGCAGAGTGCTGCTTTCCCTTTGCATTTATGTTATAGCTTGGGGGCTTGTGTTTGCTGTGTTTACACTGGCAGTTTGGGTTGGGACTATAGGGGTGGTATACAGGGGTCCTGTTGGTGAATGTGGGGCATACAATCCCCTTGAGCCCAGCCAGGGTAGGCTCAAGTGACTACTAAGCCCAGAGCAGGCAGAGTGAAGCCACAGAGCCAGACAAGAGCCAGGGGCCTGGTACTTAAGGGGTACAACCAGACAGGGGCCAGAGGTCTGGTGCCCAAAAAGGCCAAACCAGAGCTACTGCCTCAGAGTCAGGTCTGATACAGTGGGCCTAGGCTAGAAGGCCTAGTGAGAGTAAGCAGGCAGAGGGGGAAGCCCCAACAACTGACCAACACTACAATAACACCTGCAAGTCTTGATGTGGTGTAGGAGAAGATTGGAGCCAAGCAGTTAGCCCCTAAGGCTTGAGGTGCCCTGTAGTTTCACAGTTCGTGAGGCCCAGTAGGGTGCCAGGGAACCCTAGCATGGGTTCAGTCGAACTGGGGCCATATGAAGGCCTAGGGGTAGCCTCTCTTTTAAAATCATAAGAAACATGAAGATGTGGCAAGCAAGATAGAAAAGAGGGCACCCTATGGGCAGTGCAAGGCACAGTCGTGGAGCCACCAGGAGGCATCACGATTGCCCCTGGGACCCTAATGTATTACAGTTCCATATTTGTAGATGTCTTCCAATAATTGGGGTCTTTGCTGTGAAGATGTATGCAAAAATTATAGCCATGCATTAAATAAATGAGTGTTGATGTTACTGAGATCAGTTTCATCACAGCAATAACTACTGGATAGTTTCTATTTGTGAAATGCAATGTGACAACAACATTTCTATTTGTTAACATTCTATAAACAAAATAATATAGTGATAATTACCAAGTGTTGATTGAGACCAATTCTGTACTGTCCTGTACTCTATGTAGTCATCAAAATTATGCAAAGTAAATACATAATGAGTATACATGGTACTAGATCAGAATTGTTATGCTTTATATTTTGCGGAAATTACTACCCACCGTGCAAGGAAATGGAGAATCAAGACAACGTTCCTACCCGAAGGAACTTATATTGATAAATACCTGACCCTGTGAATACTTACTAATGCAAAAGTAGTGTGAGCTTGAAATAATTACATTTAAAGATATAATTTTATAAAGTGAAGAACACTGTTACTGGGTGCATCTCCACATGCATTTTAATGTGCGATAGACTATTTAACTGTGCATTAAAACATCGTGTAAAAAACCATGACATTACACTAATGCGCAGTAAAATAGTCTACTGTCCATTGAGTCACTAAAAAAGCATGCAAATGTGTTACTGTGCGTTAGCACTGTCTGACGCGCATTAATTTAGTAACTCACATTGGAGATACTAAATGTAATGCTGTCACAGGAGCACTTGGGTGCCCTGTTCCTATGTGTCACAGGAGCACCTGGGTGCCCTGTTCCGATGAAGGAATAAGGGTTGCTGAAGCTCCTTGATACAGCACAGGTGTTGGTTGCCGAAGCAGCCAGGCTGGGCTCATGACCAGAAGGGGGCAGGGCCGGGCCTTTATAAACAGCCCAGGCCAAAGCCTAGTGGCAGTTCCCTTCTGGCAGCCTGAGGTGCAGGAGCGCCAAGCAGAGCAGAGACGAGCGGTGCAGCCTGAGCACCCAAGGGACTGCATCATGGTAAGGGTGGAGAGAACCTGGACTGGAAGGCCTTGGCAAGAGAGCCAGGTGGGCCTAGATCCTATGGTATAGCCAGGAGGCTTATTGTTGCGTTATAGCCAATTGGCTTATGGTTCTGTTTAGTTATTGTTATACTGGAGGACCGGGAGAGGCTGTAGGGGTGGAGGAGGCCTCATCAGGAGCTCCCCAGGGAGGTGGGGTGCTCCCAGCGCCAGAGAGGGGTGCTGTATTGCAGGGCGTCTAGACCTCGGCACCAGAAGGGGTGAACAGATTGAGAAGCCCGGGGAGGGCACGTTTAGCGAGAGGAAGCCCAGCATGGGCATAGGTAGCAGCCCCAGGGGGGCAGGACCCAGAGTAAGGGGTCAAGGGGGCCAGGTAAGGCTAGGGCCGCCTGAGCCCCAATTGGGAAGAGGCCCGGAGGAGCTCCACAGTGGTGGGGACCCCGGGGCCCGCGAGGGCACCGTAGTAGGGGCATAGTACCCCAGCCCTGACAAGGTGTACAGTGCCGGCGAGGGCACTGTAGTTCGGGGTGCAATACCCCAGCCCTGAGAAGGGGCAAAGAGGATTTTGGGGGCCAGGCACGGCTAAAGCCACCTGAGCCCCATTTGCAAGGAGCACCAGCGAGAAGCCCAAGGGGCTCGTGTTAGGCCCAAGGGGGGACACACAGGAAGAGAAGCCTAGGGTAGGGTGCTACTATAGAGACAAGCCCGGAGAGGGTGGGTCCGCGATTACTGAGAGCCCGGAGAGGGTGAGTGCGCGGAGGGACAGGCCCCAGTGGGGGCATCGTCGGTACGTGGAGAGGCCCCAGGAGGGGCGAGCATATTGAGCGGACCCCGGGGGAGGGGGGGCGGATATAATTAGTAGGCCCGAGAGGGCTAGCGAATAGAGGGGCGCCGGTTGCGTGACAAGCCCGGGGCGCCAGTGAAGGGGCGCTGGTTGCGTGACAAGCCCAGGGGCGCCAGGCAGGGCGCATACAGGAAGCTGACCAGATAACTTCTGGTACATCTGTGAGGCTTGGGGCATGCTAAAGGGGAGGTTGGAGGCACGCACAGCCCATAAGGCTGGGGGTGCACCAGGTCACTCCATATGGAACGGGGGGGCAGTATAAGCAGAGCACTGTGTCCAAGGGGACTATAAGGCAGCCTCCCATATAAAACTATATATAACAACAAGACGTGGCGGGCGAGAAAGAGGGTGCTGGATCGCTTGCTTGGCACTGTAGGGGGGTGCTAGAGAGATCACGGCCATTCCTAGGCCCCACTCCGTGACAAATGCGCATTAGAAAAGCCACATTAATGCACATGTAGACACACCCACTGTTAACTGATTCAAATAGAAATTGAAGGCTGGGCCCTAACTCAGATAAAATATATTGCATAACTCTGGCTTTTACAAGAATATTCACATGGTTAAATTTAAGTATCTGATGAGGTACTTTGCTGAACAGGGACCTAACTAGGAATATCTCCAGTAAAGTCGCATGCAGTCATATAAGTAAAAATGAAATCTTAGCCAGTATCTCTCAACTTATTGTAAGAAACTCACTGTGAACTACACAGTACAAAAGCAATTGGGGGCAGACCTGGGAGGTATGGGGGGCATGGGTGCAGTGGTGTAGGTGCACCCGCTTTCTGCCACCAGTTTCTGGGGTTCTGCCAGATCCAGTCTCTGGGGCTCCCCCTGCCCCCAGATTGGTCAGGGACAATAGCAGAGGGAGTGGCAGGGGAACAGGTTCTCCCCCTTCATGCACCTACTCCATGCCTGGCTCCCTGGTGTCCCCTGCCAGCCCAGGGGGTTTCAGCCATACCTTGCTCCCATCTCTCTACAGTCTGAAGGTTTGTATGCCATACCCTGCTTTAGGAAACCCTGGAAATATGCCCTTTAAAAGAACCCTTTAAGTTTGGTTTATAACATTTTTCAAATGTATCACAAAGTCTTTGTTACCTGCACCATTGTCAAAAAGTTCCAGAATAATAGGGTCTCCATTCTCTGGTTCGATAATGGCGGTCACATTTGCTCCAAGAACAGGTGAAAGCCCTTGACTAACTTGTGCATAAACAACCATTGGACTAGGGTAGTAGTTTGTATCCCTGTTCACGTGGGCTTTCACAGTTATTGCAGGTATTGTAGAATTTGCTGCTCGGGAAGTTACTGTTATTGTTAGGACTTGAGGAGACAGATGAGTATTAGTGAGTGTGTATGTCCACTTCCCAGCCTGAAAAAAAATATATTTAAGAGTTAAATAAGTCCCCTTTGTTTATATGTTTTAATTGTGAGGTCCAGCTTACTCATCTTCAGGTATGTAGTAGTCTTACTCTTAAGTAGCTCCATTTGAATCAAAGGGGCTACTCACTGAGTAAATACTCAGTATGAATATGATTACAATTTAGGCTGTAAGGGTACCTATACACAAGCAGTAAGGCTGCTCCAATGCACTGCAATTACAGTACGTCAGAGCAGGCTTGATTAATTGAGGATCCTGGAGTGTGGTAATTACCACAGCCATAATTAAGTGGCTCTTGGAGCCACTCTAATTAAAGCATCCCTGGTACACTCAGAGCACGTGTATAAATGCCCTAATTCTGGAAACCCTTTCAGATGGGATCAGGCTTTGCTTATGAATGATTTTTTTTTTTATTCTTACTACTTTAATTATGCAATGAAGGACTACTTCTAAGAGGAAGGATTAGATCGGGGGTGGCCAGCCCACAGTATGTCACAAGTGTCACAGGCAGCTTCTATGCAGCATGCAGTATATAGGGGAGGGGGCAGGTGGCACAGCAGCAGAAAGGGCAAGAAACAGAAAGCAGAGCATCAGATTGAACACCGGGGCACAGGACAGGGAGTATGAAACAGAGAAGCAAGTCAGGGATTGAAAGGGATCTCAGTAGCACTTAGGGAGGGCACAGGGCTTAATTTATGCCATGCCTGCCAAAAAGGTTGGCCACCACTGAGTTAGACCATACAGTCAAAATCTGTGACCTATTCTAGGTGCCATATAATAGAAATCTCCATAGCTTTTGGAAGGAATGAAATATCTATCTACAACACTGTTTTAAAGTGGGTTTATAACATTTAATCATTCATTTAAGCTATTTTAATGTTAGATATTAGGTGGGCAAATTAGGAAGAAAAGAATGGACATACTGGGTATCAACCTGATTCAGAGAAAAAGAGATGAATTCTACTCTAAAGAAAGTTCAGAATGATATAGCTGTAAACTCAAATTGTGTCTTTAAACTTAGAGAGAACTCTCCACTAAAGTGGAAAAATCAGAGTCAGCTATCATAGTTTGAAAAGTCTTATCTCATACTGTTAAATGACTCCAGCTTAATGTAGTAGAGTTGGAGTGTTGTTTTAGCCATAATGGTCCAGAAAATATGTGAAAAGCAAGGTTTATAGTGATATTTTTTATCGGGCCAACTGTGTAGCCTGGAGAGATGTTAGGAAAGCTTTTACGCATGATGCGCCCTTCCTCAGGCTTGGATATATGTATCTTATTTCATGCATCAGTTAGACTTGAATGACAAGGAGATAGCTTAATTTTTACCTCTGCAATGCCGGGAATTTGAAGACGAGCTACGTGGAAAATAGTATCAATGCTGAAGTTCTCATTGGTGTAGTTTTTTCCATGGGGATCAAGAAGAGTTATTTTTGGTGGTTCAGTGGTCTGCCAGGTAACTACAAAGAAGGTATCCCTTCCCACTGTACTATCAATAGTCACTGTCCTTCTGAACTGTTTATAACCCTGGGTACTTTCACCAGTGCTTTCAATCTATCAGAAAAAACATATTTACTGTATTATCCATCAGTCCTAAAGTTCCATGACCTCATAAGTAAAAGTTTTTCATCTTACCCTTGATAATTAAATCCAATACTGAAAAAGGAAACTATATATAATCAAATTAATCTTTATCATGTACATATATACCCAATTCTCCTTTTACACCACAGTACATGATTTTAGCAGCAACTGCATTGAAGTCAATGGAGTAAAACTAGCATAACTGAGATGATGTTAAGACCTTCCACGTGTTTCTTCTCAAAATGTTGGATGTCATATCCTCTGCTGGGTGAAATTTCAGATATGCTCAAATATATAGAAAATTGGTGTTGGAAGGGACCTCAGGTCATCTAGTCCAACTCCCTGCTCAAATCAGGACCATCTCCCAACTACATCATTCCAGTCAGGGCTTTGTCGAGCCAGGCCTTAAAAACCTTCAAGGATGGTGATTCCACTACTCTGTAACTATTCAGCTATGAAGGACCTGTGTTATCTTTCCCAGGAAGATAGCAGTTAGATCTGTAAATTCTCTTTTGTATTTCATAGTTTTATAGCTGTCAGGGGCTGGAAGGGACCTTACAGATCATCGGGTCCACCCTGCCTAGCACTTGAGCAGGAACGACTGCTGGGGTCAATGCTCTCATGTTAATAATTATTGTTCACTTAGTGCCAACACAAATCTTCAGTGCTCCATTTAAGTCCAGTTCTACCTTTGAAAAGTGTACCAGCTAGTAGCAAGATATTTGGGCAGAATAAAAATACTTAGTGCAGATGCAAGTTATACTGGCAAAAAGGGTATTTTATATAGCTATGCGACTTTCTCTTCCATGTAGGACTAAACTATACCAGCATAAGCATGTACATTGGTATAACTTTATCCACAGTAAGGTAGGAGGACAAATAAAGTACTACAGATTTTATGTACAGGCAATCCCTAGTTGAGGATTACCAACAACTGATCATTGGGCCCTGTCTATTCATAATATTCTTCTTTTCATTTACATTTGAGAGTAGATTTCTTAATACAGTCCACTCTAAGCTTTCCCTACAGTATCTGGGTATTTCCCTTTGGGGCTTCTTTGCCTCATTTCTCATGTCAAACCCAATGATATTCTGTATTACTGAGTCAACTTCCGAAATCTCATATGCTCAGATCGCATTCTGAATCTTCTTTGTCTCTCTATAACATCCATCTTAGAATACAAAAGATTAAGATACATTCAATATTCCTGACAGAGGTGTAGCCCATGTGTTCTAAAGCAAAGTTATTCCTAATGAGAAGGAAACTGGAAATGGTTAAAAGTTTGGTTCAAATGGATTTGCAAGAGTTCCATTTCCATGGCTTTCTCCTCATACCAGTAAAAGGAACTGTGCTAGAAACACTTCTGTCTTCTAAATTTCTCAGGTCAAATTAGTAGGCAATGCGTGGTACCTGCTGAGTATGTAATAACTCCCTGGCACCTCCATATAAAAACATGCACATATTTCAACATGTAGTAGACTTTGAGATAAAATGCTATAGTGTGATAGACTGTACATAAGTCAGTGTGGATGCATTAGGGCCTAGTACGAATTCAAGTTAAGGGGCAGATTATAAACCAGACTGTAAAGGTGGTCAATGTAAAGTTGAATGGAGATAAGGAAGTTGCTTTGGGCTGTACAAGAGGAAAAGAAAGGGCTTAAGAGTTGATTAAAATCTTACAAAAGATTTAATTCTTACTTTGCTTGAGCTAGTTTTCTTATCTCGTTCTCTCCAAGACTCATTCAAAATAACATACTGAATATAATGCAGAAATATTGTGAACACAGTGGTGATATCAATAGAGAAGGAAATGGAAATGTTATTTGTATTTATAAAACTGACCTGAATGGACTGATTAAAGGTATCTCCACTTCCTGATAAAATTCCACAGAAAGCATCAATGAGGTCATTGGAGTTCAGTCTATCTGAGACAAAAAAGTTTAACCCCCCTGAAAAAGAGCACAGGTTTTATTTTTGAGTTGGAACTTAATTTCAAATATTGCATACTGTTTCAAAATACTTAATTCATGAAACTGATAAATAGTCTTACCTAAACATTTTTCAAGTCAGTATAAGGGGATGAGAGGGATACTGTATATCACTGATAAGGTCAGTGGTGTAACTGGTGGGAGTCAATAGAAGCAACTGTCCCCAGTGCTGACTTGGGAGGAGGGCACGAAAAAGGGGCTCCTGCAGGCACCTGCGCATTCATGACCACAAATGAGGCAGCAACTGAAAGGTCTCAGTTAAGCTCTTCTAGTACTTCCAAAAGGTTCCTTTAATCAGGACACCCTGAGTTCACTATCTCATAATGACTCTTGTTATTTTAAAACCGTAGTACATGTAGCAATTTTGCATTGCTTTTAGGAAGTATTCTAGCAATGATGTAGATCCAAAACAACATCTCTAAATGAATAGAACAAAGCTAAGGCTACTTGCAGGAATAAGAATCAGGCACTACTTTTATATATTTAGGGCACTACATTTATACATTTTCAGAAGTCTCCTTTATTTTCACTTTTTTTGGCTTATCACAATTTCTGAGTGCCTGGCAACCTCAGATGTCCAAGGCTAGATTGTTCAAAGGTACCAAGCACCCATAGCTAGTATTCACTTCAATTAGAGACACAGGTGCTCCTCCAGGATAATATTTTCAAAAACAGCTAATGATCTGGAATATCCCTGCTTTTGGGTGTCCTGCTGGACATGAAGGGCAAGATTCTGGAAGTTGTGCTCATGAGTAATTGCCCAAATAAACCCCATTGGTTTTACTGAAGTCATCTATGGCACAAGAGTAGCATCATTTAGGCTTGACATCTAAAGCAGGATATCTAAAAACTGACACAATCCAAAATTAATGGTCACTTTTGAACTGAGCCATGTTGACTCTTACATAAGAAGAGAAACATTAACAAGTGAATTACCAGCATATGTCCAAGGAATGAAGGGCAAGGGCAGCATGTCAAAAATTTGCAGAGAGCTGTTAATGAACTTTTTTCTACAGGAAGAAGAAATTTGCAAAAAAATCTGAATAATGTTTAAATCTGAGAATTTTGCAATCTGCTGCTGAACGTTTCAAGCAGAGAAAACTGGAAAATGTGACAAATTAGTAATTATGCCTTAAATTATTGAACTATTCAAGAATAGAGGGCCATATGTTAAAGGTATTTAGAAGCTTAATCCCCATTGATTTCAGTGATACTTAGGCACCTAAATACTATCTAAGCCATTTACAAGCTTATTTGCCAAATTGCTTGGCAAGAAGCTATTTGCCTGACATGCACCATGATCAGCTAAACCAGGAGTGGGCAAAATCTGGCCCATAGGCCAAATCCAGCCCACCAAGCACTTTCATCCGGTCTGCAGCACCCCCTACGATGAATTGCACCCTGCCCAGCCCTTGTGCGCACACGGGTGGAACCTCTTGGGCAGAAGGGCTCTGCCCAGCCAGCAGCTTCCAGGCAGGGCTTCTGCTACAGCCAGAACCTGCTTGCCTGTGGCTGCAGGTAGGGAAGCGGGGGGCTGGTGGTGGGTTGGAGTCGCAGTTGGGCAGAAGCGAGAGTGCAGCACAGAGCCTTCACCCATAGGAGCAGCAGGAGCACAGAGCTTAGCTAGGCAGGGTGTGGGTGGGGGGGTGTTGAGACTCCCCCACAAACTCCCCCCACATGGCATGCAGGAAGTCAGGGAGTTCATGCCTGGCATGGGGGGAGGGAGCAGAGCCTGCCCTATTGCTAGGGCTCTGCACTGCACGCCTGCAGCTCCAACACTTGCAGCAGGAGAAGCCCCACACTGGAGCCTGCTGCCTCTCCTGCAGGTCTCCACACCCTGCCAGGAGTGGAGGGAGCCCTGCCTCCTGCTTCTCCATGGAGTCCTGTATGATTTGGGTTTTTTCGGGTTCTAAGATGGCAATACCCCACTCCCAAAAGGAGTATTTGGCGGGAGGGGGGCAGCAAGGGGAAGGGCTTCCAGGGGCAACGGTCAGGCATTAGGGGGCAGGACCTTTGCTCCTGATGTGGCAACTGTCAAGGGGCAGGGCTACCTATGCGGCCCCTGACAGTTCACCAAAGCCTGTTAAGTGTTCCTCTGCCTGAAATAATTGCCCGCCCCTGAGCTAAACCCTGTAACCCATCTCAACTACTGTCAGTACAGTACAGAAAAGTGGCTGGAAGAGAAAAGTACTGGACGTGACAGCTGCCACTCACCTGAAAGCTAGTAGCAGAGAGAAGCTGACCAGCAACCAACTGATTGATTAAGTGAGCAGGCAGGCCATGTGAGTACAACATAACTGCTCTGTAAGGATGCATAAGGTGGTACAAACAGCTGAGCACAAACCGTGTCTGCATGAATTAGCCAGTACATTGCAGGATGGGGTGCCTTTAATGCTGAGAATGGTACAGGAATGACAGATGGAATTCTTGCAATTGAAACAGCAGCCCACATCAATCACGAGCATTTTAAGTGGCTTTGACTGAACCTTTAAATATCTGTCCTTAGACACCAACTATGATAATCTAGTTGCCTAGATTGTTTAAAACAAAAATACGAGGACAGAATCTCAGTTTTGCAAACATTTACGCAGAACTGAGAAAACCTGTTGTGTTCAAGATTGGGGCCAAAATGTCATTAAAAAATTTACCTGTCTCTTTAGAAAACTGTTCAATTTCTTTTGCAGCAGACTGCCCCAGAACAATGGTATGAATGACTGATCCACTGTTAATCACATCAGAAAAGCATTTCTTTACAGCACTGTCTTCTCCATCTGTCACCAATATAATTTCTGAGCCATATGTATTTCCATCATGTTTTCTGATCACCTAATAACAGAGTACCAAGTATTAATATGAAGCTAATGTATTATACACTCTGCACAGTTATTTGGTATGGTACAGGAAAATGCAAAATTGTAAAAAGAAGTAAATCAAAAGAAATATACTGAAAATTCTCCTGCATTAATTAACTTCTGGATTTTATACCTGTTACAAAATAAGAAGAGAAAATAAGGGCTAAATTAAGACTGTCCTGTTTAGGTGAGAGAAAATTAGGCACTTTCCATTACCTCAAATGCCAGCTGCAAGCCTGCACAAACATTTGTTCCCTCACTAGTTGGAGCAGTTGGTAGGAATGAAGCAAGCTGTGTCCTTATATCATCACTGACAATTTGATGCAACTGAGTTTTGATCTCTCCCGAGTGACTGAAAGTGACAATACCAACATAGGAATTTTCTTCCACAATCTGCAGAAGATACAGCTCTGCTGCTTGATGCAGCTGATTGATCCAATTAGTCTATATAAAGAAGTTCAAAACAAACAACAAATAACTCACAATAAAGAAGCCAAGCAGCTGTAAATTTTTCACTGAAAAGATCAGAATCAAAGAGACAAAAACAGCATAAAATATTCCACAGTGTATATTCAAGAAAGGTTTTAATTTAGAACAATAAAAAGTGTTGCTGCACAGGCTCCAAGGACCCTACTAAACACATAAAATTACAAATCTAAATACTGTACTGAGCAACAGTATATGCAGATGTTTCAGCAAATCTTTGCTTTGGTGAAAATATTTCCAAGTGAATAAAAAGAAATCGTCTAAGTGCACAAAGGAAAATACATTTCCACTAAAGAGATTTCAGTATATCTGAATGAGAATTTACCCCATTCTTGCTGTTTGAAACATCAAGAACCAGGCAGACCACCCTATCTCTCTTCTGCAGCAATGAGAAGGTAGGAGAAGGTATAAGGTTGGTAGTATTCAGTGGAGGATTGTTCTTAAAATCCATGGAGTTCATTATTACTTCCCATGTGCTTCTATAGTCACACATTCTGTTCTGCATATTGGGAGCTTCTCTATTATGGTTACTTTCATCACAGAATTCAGCCACCTAGAAATAGAAACAAATAGAGCAAAACAGAGAGACCAAAAATAAAGAAATCCAAAGAAAGCCAAGCAGCAATGAAAGAAAATAAGTACTGCTGTAAGAAAAATAATAATCTGGATTTGTATAGTGCCTTCCAGCATTTGATCTGAAAATATTTGAAGCTACCACTATTATATCTTTTACCAATATGATAACAGAAATATCAAAGATCAAATAAGTTCCCAAGGTTATACACTTAGTGATAGCAGTGAGGCATAAAAAATAAAAACAGTCATTTTGTCATCATGTGCTCAAGCCACAGGGCTACTGCTTCCTCATAGAAAGCATGATATCTAATACTGCTGCTTAAGCAGTGCACTTCTCTCCCATGCACAGCACGGCAATGCCACATAAACAGCAGAATTCAGCTCATAAGAGCAATCTAAACCAATCCTTATTCAGGCAAAACTTCAGTGAAACAAACTGGAACTATCATGGGAATAAGGATCACAGAATTTGTCCCTGTAAAAATAATAATATGGCTAATTGTTTTAACACATGTCTAATATAATCATCCTATTGGACATGGCTAATACAGCCATTCTAAGGACATCCTCAAATATTTACTATGTACATATTGACTATGACTTGAGCTGTACCAAGTGATTTGTCAACTATAACAAATGTCCCAGAGATATTCTAGATATCCTAGCATTATGGCCAGTCACATATATTTGAGACATCACTTGGTGCAAAACAATTGAGTATTCTTTGGGATTTTATCATTTGCTTTAAACAACTTTAACATTTTAAATAAACTTAGCATTTCTAAAAGAAATGGTTAAGGACAAATTATCAGAAATCTTTTTTTTTTCTATCTATACTCACAGATGATAAGCTTTGCATGTACATTATTGATGCCTCTGCCGTTTGATTTTTCTCATGAATAAATGCACATCCTTCAATAAAAAGTCCTGTTAGTTGATTAATGACACAATTTCCTTCAGTGCAGGATTTTTTTTCACAGACATAGATGCCAGTGAGATTAGATGAGCACCTGGAAGTAAAAATGGAATACTTATTATTTAGAAATGCCAGACTGGCCCCAATTCAGGGTGGAACCTGATTTTAATCAGTTTGCCTTGCAGGAATGCAGAGGCAGCTTTTTGTAGAAGTAATGTTTGTATGTGCAAAGAAGAAAAAAATCTACTAATTTTTTCTTCCTCAGTCACTTTAATCCATTAAGCCAATAAAAAATACTAAGACTGTAGAATTTATTTTTGTTTTGGGTTTTTTTTTATTCTATAGTTACCACTTGAATAGTCATAGGAAAAAGGAACACATAACATGCCTACAGAAACAAACCAGATTTGGGCCCTAATAAAACAAACCCTACTGATAAAGCCCACCAAAATTTGAATGTAAAAGTAAACTAATTAATTACCTTGTAACTTCAACTCGATTTTGTCCGGTTATATAGAAAGGCCTGTCACTATCATATTCATCAAACACCCCCCATCGAAGGTGGGCCCACTCATGGACAAAAACTCTGCCTGTGGGAATAGAGCATGTAAACTGTGGTAACTTTAAAATTACCATGACTGTACATGTTTGTAGTGCACAAGATCAGTGTGTACATATTCAGCCAATAAAGATGAATAGTAATCACATTAGCAAAGTATCCAGTAACTCCCAGTGGAAACAGGGAGAGGTATTAATTTACTTAGGAGCTTCTATAACATGCCTACTTGCCTAACTTCAAGCACCAGCTTTTGAAAATGTATTTGTTTTATTTGATTTAATATTTGGGTTTTTTTTAAATGGGCTTCTAACTTCATTATATGTCTGTCAAGCTTAAAGAAATGTGCAGTGACAGAGTGGAAGAACATGCACACTGAATTGCAATTAGACATCCAGGGTATTCAGTGCCACTTCCAAGAGCCAGCGCTTTATTTTCTGCAGATAGGATGAGTTTTCTAAGCGGTAGGAAAAGTCATGCTAAGGAAATGTTCATGGATCATTTGCAAAAAAGGGTTAAAGCATACATTTTTCTTCATTTTATTACAAAATCAGATATGCTCCTCCTTATATGCAAAACTCTCATACATTTTCCATTTCTGAGCTAACCTAGCTTTGTTTTTTCACTTCATTTTATATAAAATAGCCACTAAATTATAAATAATGGATTACAATTTATAAATAATAATTATAAATCTGTCAATTTCTTACAGTGGATATTATATTTCTATTAGTGTCAAAATGTGTCTATATTCACTATGCAGAACAGAGACATATTTTTAATAACTTTTTACAGTTCTCTTCAGAGAGTTCAGTATATTTCAGAGGAATATATTAACTCTGTTCTACAAAGTGCCCAGATCATACTTACCTACTTCACAGAGATTTTGTGAGGTTTAATTAATGTCTGTAAGGCACGTTGAGATTTTCAGATGGAAGGAACTATACAAGGGCAGAGTATTTACTATGATTCTTGGCCTATTAATTGCATTTTTACATCTATGAATGTGACAGCAACTACCATTACATAGAGAGTTCCCATGGACACATTTCTTTTGCCAGACACAACTAAGAACAAAAATGAAATATCAAGAATGATGTCATAAATTTACCCCGTGATCCATAGACAGCAATCAATTTATCATTTAATAGGAAGGTAGGTGTGAAATGTATATATTTTCCCATTTTTCCACATTCTCCATATTGTAGGGTGTATGGGTCATCTCCATGTTTCCAATAAGAAGCAGCAACTATGACATCTGCCTAAAATTATAAAAATGTTTTATTGAATGAATTAAGCACAGACATGTATTGCTTTATGCTTGTGCAGCACCTAATATAGTAGGGTCTTTGTAAATTACTAGAGCTCCTACATGCTACTGCAATACATAAGATTAGAGTTCTAGGAAACATAATTTACAAGAAAAGGTTGGAAAAGCTGGGATTATATAGTCTGGGGAAGAAAAGACACAAGAGGGATTTTAAAATAGTCTTTCAAGCAAATGAAAGATAGTTTTAAAGAGGATGATGACCCATACACTCAGGGATAGGGACAGGGGGTGTGCCTCCCTCCCCTTCCCAACTCTGGCTGTGCCACACATACACAGTGAGCTCTGAATTGACTGCCTGGTAAGTGTGGGCTCCTGCTGAAGCTCCATGTGTGTAGTGAGCTCTGAGCTCACAAGTTGATGCGAGTCTACCTAGACATCTTGCTATTATGTTCATCCTTCCTCTCCCTCTCTCTGCTCTTTGGTGAATTCAGCAGCAGGGAAAAGCAGATGAATGGCAGTAATCACCTTCTGGGCTACATGAAAGCAGGGGCTCTAGCTAGCACTTGTGCTGAGAGTTCACCCTAGTCCTACCGCCCCTGCTCAAAGAAGAAGATGCAGCCAAAGGGGGAGTGTGATTGCACTGCAGTACGTGCTCTGGATCTACCCCTGGCCACAGGGGATAGGCCAACTAGTAATGGTGTTAAATTGCAAAAAGGGAAATTTAAGTTGGATATTAGGAAAAGTGTCCTAGCTGGGTGTATAACTAAGCATTGCAAGGGATAACCAGAGAGGTTGTGAAATCTCTATCCCTGGAAGTTTTTAAGACAAACACATGACTGGAATGGTTTAGACAAGGATGATCTGCCTTGAACACTGAGCTAGATCAGAGGACCTCCTAAGCTCCCTTTCAATCCTATTTTTCTATTATCCTATACAATAAATAGCATTGTGAATCTGATTTACACTTACATTTATGCCACTTTACATGTTCCTAGCATTATAAAAGGTCTTGAAAGTGGGAAAAATATATATTTACACCCATATTAAGACCTCTCTAAATTGCTAGAGTGGTATAATATGACCCTAGTGGAAATAACAATCAGTCTTCCTATGTTTAAGAAGGCAGACACTACAGTCTAGCAATCACTGTTGTTGTAAATTCAGTTGGAAAAATCATGACAACAGGAGATAAAAAGTAGGAGCAGCAGAAACAGTGAGTCATGGACCAAATCAATAATCCAGTACCACCCCCTCCCCGCCATGGAAACACATGTCCAAGATGCAGTAGTCTGTTGATTGAACATAGGCCTCATCAGCCATCTTCACACACGCAGATAAGACAAACACGGAAGACAATCATTCTCAACTATGAGGGATTGCCAAAGAAGAAGAAGAAAATATCCAATTTACTTGCTGCTTTTCTTAGAAGCATAGAAAATTAGGGTTGGAAGGGACCTCTAGTCTACATCCCTGCTCAAAGCAGGATCATCCCCAACTAGATCATCCCACTTGAGGCTTTGTCTAGCCAGGTCTTAAAAACCTCCGAGGATGGATATTCCACAACCTCTCTTGATAACCTGTTCCAGTGCTTTACTACCACAGGTGCATCTTGAGTAGAGCCAAGGAGGTGATCCTCCCCCTCTACGCGACACTGGTCAGGCCACAGCTGGAGTATTGTGTCCAGTTCTGTGTGCCCCATTTCAAGAGGGATGTGGACAACATGGAGAGGGTCCAGAGGAGGGCCACCCGCATGATCCGGGGACAACAGGGCAGACCCTACAGTGAGAGACTGCGGGACCTGAACCTATTCAGCCTCCACAAGAGAAGGCTGAGGGGGGACCTGGTGACCGTCTATAAACTCACTAGGGGGGACCAGAAGGGTTTGGGGGAGACGCTGTTTCCCCTAGCGCCCGCTGGCATAACAAGGAGTAATGGGCACAAGTTGATGGAGAGGAGGTATAGATTGGACATCCGCAAAAACTACTTCACAGTTAGGGCGGCTAGGAGCTGGAACCAACTTCCAAGGGAAGTGGTGCTGGCCCCTACCCTGGGGGTCTTTAAGAAGAGGCTGGATGCCTACCTGGCTGGACTCATTTGAGTCCCGTTTCTTGTTTTGGGGTTTTGTTGTTCTCCCGCCCTGGCGGGGGGTCGGGCTAGAAGATCTACTAGGTCCCTTCTGACCCTAAATCTATGAAACTATGAAACTATATGAAACTATGAAACTAGCCTCCTAGTGAGAAAGTTTTCCCTAATATCTAACTTAAACTTCCCTTGCTGCAGCTTAAGACTATTGTTCCTTGTTCTGTCATCTGCTACCACTGAGAACCATCATCTTCAGAACCACCCTTCAGGTAGCTGAAGGTCGCTATTAAATCCCCTCTCAGTCTTCTCTTCTCCAGACTAAGTAAGCTTCTCCTCATAAGTGATGTGCCCCAGCCCCCTAACCATTTTTGTTGCCTTCCACTAGACTCTCTCCAATTTGTCTACATCCTTTCTGAAGTGGGAGGCCCAAAACTGGACACAGTACTCCATATGTGACCTCACCAGGGCTGAATCACTTTCCTTGATTTGCATGCAATGCTCCTACTAATGCAGCCTATTATGCCATTAGTCATCTTCACAACATGATTTGAAACCATTAATCAGCAATATGCCTTTTCAATATTTTTTCTCTAATATTCTGTTTTCCCAGAGATAAAACATTATAAAAAAAAATCAGTATAAAATTGTAGGACAGGTTTCCTGTACCTAAAATTGGGGCAACTTCAACAAGAATACAGGCAGTCCTTGGACTTACGACACAATTGGTTCCTGAAAACTGCGTCTTAAGTTGAAACATTGTAACTCAGAACAAATTTTCTCATAAGAAACAATGTTATAAATGGGGGATTGGTTCTGGAACCAAGGCCCAATACCCTATTTTCACTAAAAACACTCCAGATCAATTATAGATAAGTAATATAGATACATTAATGTTTTTATATTGTAAATAGCAATTATATTGATTTGGAAAGATTTCTTTTAGGTGACTTTGCTGGACTTTTTGAAAGGCTCTTGGTTGGACTTTTTGCAGGGTTCTTGGCTGGAGTCTTCTCAGGAGTCTTGGCTGCAGGTTTTTCTGGAGTCTTGGCTGCTTTCTTAAAGAAACTGTGCAAAGAAGTTTGGACAGATGTTCTCCAGGGAGATAAGCAACACAGCATTGCATTGGATCAAGTGTTGTAAAGTTGAAACTGATGTCATAAAATTGAAACAGGGTGTCAATTTATAAATGTAAGTGCGAAACATTGTAACTTGAAACATTGTAAGTTGATGACTGCCTGTACCCAAAGAATCTCTTGGTTTAAGGCCATCAAGGGAATGAAGGAATGTGCACAAACTACAGAATTAAGAGGGATTTACTGAACAGCAAACTTGCATACTAGTTATTACTTGGATATACTCATATAATCCAGAGGTTTTGTAGTTGAGCAGCAGCCTCAGTTGGAGGTAGAATGGCCAAAAGAAAAGCAAGACCAGAAATACCTTAACGAGCCTTCACTTTAGTATCGAATAGTTAACCATGAAAGGAGATAAAAATGGGAAGACAGCAGGGCCTTAGTGCAGAAATGTAAACAGCGTACTGTGGAGTGGTCTGGTATTGTAAGGGCCTTGATAGTAGATAGGGATGATAGCATCTATGGGGTTAAAAAAGGACCACTCTTAGAGCTGTTTTTGATGTCTTTCAAGTGTGACTGTTGGGAGGCGGAAGGGAAGAAAAATATATCTTAAGTCAATAAGATTCACGGGTTCATGATCAAACTGGACAGTTGGTATAATTTAGTCCAACTTCCAGCCTAACTCAGGCCATAGAAATTTACAAAGTCCTTCAAACTTATTTAGCTTCAAACTTATTTAGCTTATTTATCCATAGCTGTACAGTCTTGCTTTAAACAAAAGTGACAGAATCCAGCACTTACACTCACTTTAAAAAATTGTACCTTCTTCCTAATATGAATGCATTTAGCTGCAGCTCCCAGTCTTTGGATCCTGTTGTGCCTTTGCCTGTTAACTTAAAAGAGACCTCTCCTATCAGAAATCTTCTTACTAAGTAAGTACTATAAACTGTGATTAATGTACCTGTTAAACTTCTCTTGGATAAACTAACTAAATTAAGCTTTTCTAGTCTCTCTTGGTAAGACGGATTTTCCAGAACTCAAACCATTTTTGTAATTCCTATAAGACTGAAGCCAAATATTTTGCGTGGTAAAGTCAAAGCAAAGCCAGATTGATCCTTACCATAGTGTTATCTAGTTGCCACCTAAAAATATACAAAATGAGCAATGGCACCATCCACTTGGGAATTTACCTATTTTCTTAAGAATTTATATGGAATGGAGGGTACATAGTTTCTGACTAGTCCTATTACTGAGTCTGGTTAAAGTATACTGCATTTATCTGTTGCTTTCAGGGTTCCTAGTAGATGGGCTAAGGCTCTGAGTAATGGGTAGGATGTTTCTAATTCACTGAAATCAAACTAAACAAAGATCAGAACTCCTGATGAGGAAAAAAAGACCAAACATTAAGAACTAGTGTGCTCTAGCTCTGTCTATTGCAATGAGCCATCTTTGTTTCTCTTTGTTGTCTTGCATTTCATTTGTATGCCAAGTCTTCTGAGTCTCAAAGTCTCCACCCAAACAAGTATCACTGCCCTTTTAAGCTTTGTTAATGGGACAATGGATTAGGAGAGCAATAGAGAAAAAAAGAAAACACTGACACTTGGCCAACTATCTGAGACTAGTAGCATGCAAAACCCCAGGGGATTGCTATGTCCCAAGGCACCTTTAGTGCCTTCCACTGTAAGAGGCTTGAACAGGCTGTGGAGCTGCCAGCAGGTATGGTGAGGCCTAATGAGGTGGTCACATGATCATAAGAGGGCTCGTGAATTGGATGAAGGCCTGGGCAGCCTCAGTATAAGCCTAGGCCCTAGGAGCTGAGTTGCATGCAGTTGCAGCTGGGGAGTCAAAGGGTGAACATCTCCTGGCTGGAGTACTGCTGCTCCCAGAACACCTGGATGTTAAGGGTAGAAACTATGGGGATGGAGGAGGTTGCTGGTCCTGGGGAATGACCTAAAACTACACCCTGCTGGGGTAGGATCGTGTGGTGGGGCTGCCTGTGGTGGGGTGGTCCCAGGAAATGCCACACCAGTGCCTCCCTAGTGAAAGGCAAAGATGGGGTACTGTATAGCCTCAGCCCCCACAGCCTGGTGGGTTACCCCATAGAGGGGACAGGTGAGGGGTCCAGGCATGTCATCGGATACCTGAGGCCCAAGGGGCATAAGCCCTAGTAACCCCAGTGAGAGAGTGTGTGTGAAAGCAGTAGGCTGTGTAGAGTGGGGGGGCCCATGTCCATGTGGGGGGCCCAAAGGACTGCACATAGGCCAGCCTAAGTAGTTTGATTGAGTGAGCCCAGTGGGAGCAGAAGAGCAGGCCCAGGATGGGACTGGAGGAACTATGTGGTGCAGTGTTTGGAGGAGCGCAAGAAGGTGGACCTGAATGGCAGAGTGAGGGCAAGTGGCTTGAGAAACTACCCATAAAAACCTTGAATGGTCTATGCTGGGGCCAGGACCAGACCAGTCAAAGGGCCAGAGCACCCACCACAAGGGACAGCCAGAGGCTAGTGGCTTGGAGTCCCAACTTGCCTAGAGGCAAGGCCAGGGCCTGTAAGACCAAAGGTCCTGGAGGCAGCCAGTGCCAAGAAGAAAAAGGGCTTTGGGAGTTTTGCAGCCCAGAATGAGGGTGGAGATTAGATTGCCTGACTAGGAGGAATCCAAGTTGGGTCCGAATGTCAGACAGGCATATAGTGTGGCCCAGTGTGGGGCCGGAGACGTAGCCATACAGTGATACCATCTGCAAGGCATGGGACATGGTGTAGGGACAGTACAGGGCTGTGTATTATGTCCTTGGCACTGGGCAGTAAATGGGCAGCCTCCCACCTATAAACAACTTCCAAAGTTATGTCAAAGGTGTGGCAAGTGAGGCAGATGGCCAGGCTGCCCTAGACAGGTGGGTGGACCAACATTTGGACCAGCCTTGAAACAGCTCCCTGTCATACTATGTCCAAAGATTTGGCCTCTGTCTCTCTTGTTCCACAGAAAAGGCTTTACCTGAGGCAAGGAAGACAGAGGGTGCAGACAAAAGCTACATTTATCACATGATCAGCTTCTTAAAAGCATCTACAGCCATGCCCTTACAGAAGCACATGGCTAAAGAGAGCTTTAACAGTGCCTGATCATGCAACAATCTGAACCGTCATTAAATGGCTATTCATATGAAGGCACTTCAAAGACGAGTGCCTTTATTAACTTCTGTCAGTGCACACTGGGAATACGGCTGGGTTGATATAGCCTAGCTCTGCTGCTGGTACTCTCTTCTGAATGGGAGGTGGGGAATGGAGAAGAGGGAGCTCTGTCTGAGGTTTGCCCAGCCTGTACTGGAGGATGGGGCAGATAGATTGGAGCCTCTTCACCTTGGCAGGGGGTCTCCAATCCACCCTTCTTTCCACCCTTCCCATTCTGAAAATAACACTAGAGCTGGGAACGGGGGGCCAAGGCTAAGGGACAGCAGCTGCAAACCTGCAGCTGCTCCAAAGTGGAGCTTGATCCCCACCCCCCCAGACCCAACAGCTAATGTCTAATGGGTCCAGGGGAATGCTGTAACTGGACAGGGAACTGCACATCTGTCAGTGCCCTAAGTCTATCTGAGCTTGAACTCTCTCTCGTATACTGTACTTTTGTTTGCCAGAATCCAAATGTAAAAGAAGACTAAAAACATCTAAAGAGATTGGGTCAATGAATAACTTAGAGTGGGGGAAAATGACATGTTAAAAACTACCTGACTCTGTATTTAAAATCCTTTACAAACCTTAACTAATTATAACAACATTTTAGTGAAATAAGTAGAAAATATAATTATTCTTATTTTATAGATAAGAAATGGCACAATTAATGATTAACGGCAAATCTTAAATCACTATCTACATAGATACTTATGTGATGTTTCTCAGGGACTTTTGCATCATGACTGAGTAAAAAATGAATGGGGATTAAAGGATTTGGCCTCAAATAAGTTATCCAAAGCACTCAGTGAATGAATGGGGACACCAGTATTACAGTTTGAGGCTTCCTGTATTCCAGACCCATGCCAAATCCACTGGCTTCTGCTACCTCTCACTTTTAACCATGATATTGTTGTTGTTCTTATTCTTGTTATTCTTATACCTTAAAACCACATGTTACTTTACAGATGTTTAGAATATAAGACCTAACTAGTTACCAATTAGTTTGGTCTTATGTTCCTAACTAGTCCTGTGCCAATGGGACAGGAACAGGGAACAATGAAACAACCTCTTTTTTTCCTCATTTGTCCTTACTATTTATTGGATCACAGAATCTGGCTGGTGTTCTCCTGGTTGTTACAGATATTGTTGTGTGCATACTTTGCCTTTTAATGTTCCTGAACATTACATTTAAAACAATTATAATTTTTTAATTGTCAGAATATTTTAGTTTCTGAGACAGGCTTTGAACCTTACCTTGTCATAGGACTCTTGTTTAGGTTTCTCATAATTGTTTGCTTTCCATGTAGGAGGTATTAAAATCTTTACATTCCTAAAATAGAATCTATTTTTTGTAGCACTGAATAAATAGAAAGATGCTTCTGTTATCATATCCTAGTAATAAAATTAACAAAAAGAAAAACAGTAAGTCAACAGGACCATTAATTAAGTGGTTTGTTATTTTATGTTATTTGGGTATTAGTTCTGTGGCTTATTATATGTTACTATTAGTCAGCAAGCAGGAAAAGTGTTAGGCAATAATTCTGAAAAGGGAAAAATACTGAATATATATATATATATATACTGTGTATGTAATACACTTTCCCATACAAGGATCTCCGTGTATCTTACAAACAGGCATTATAACATCACACTGCTTTAGGTTAGAATAAATCACGGGGTTTATGGCAGGACTACAAACTTAATTTTTTAATTAATATATTTTATATTCCGGGTCAAATCAGCCAAATCAGTTTCAAATCGTATCAATTGAGCAAAATACAATTGTTCCAAAAAACATATCCATCGAACTGGGAGAACTCAGTAGTTCTAAACACCATGTACGGCACTACAACCAGCCAGCATCCTGCATCCCAGGCTCTCACCCTAGGACTTCAGATACTCCCAAATCCATTGGCAGGTGTCCTACGTGTAGGCCCAAGTCTGGAGGTCTTGGGAGTCGGATGCCCCCGTTTGATCTTGTACCACAAACTTTTTTTTTTGTAATGGAAATTTTTTCATGTTCCAAGCCAAATCCACCAAATCAATTCCAAATCCGTGAGTCATTCAAGAACCGTATGTTGCCCTGCTACTGGCATGCATCCTCCACCCCTGCCTGGGGCTTCAGATGCTGCTAAATGCTTTGACGGGCATCCTTTATGTAGGCCCAAGCCCCCGAGTATGTGGCTTGGGGTTCATATGCCCCCGAGTTTCGCTTGCCCTCAGCCCTACGGCTGCAGGAGCAAGCTAGGGAGGAGTCTCCGATTTCCATAAAGTCCAGATCTTCCCACTGGAAGTGAAAGTGGGAGGCTAGCAATGCATTACCTTGGTCAGGGTACTACCCCCTGCAGGGGAAAGTGGTTCTCCCCCGCAACTAAGAAAGCCGCCTTAGCCCACAAATGTCATCACCCAGGGAGCCAGGAGCTGAGTGCTGACCCCAGACCACCGCTGCTGCACGCACCCCCTTGGGGTGCCAAAACCACAGGCCATAAAGCCTGACATTTAATTTGCTGCTGGAAAAAAAGTTTGAACCCTCTCACTTGAGGTCGGTAAGACCTGGCCCAGCAACACCTGCCCGGGCTTGCCAGGCCTTCCCTTTCCCAGCAGCGGCTGGGACTAAGGCTCGGGGCACAGCCGGCTTCTGGGCTCTACCTGCCGGCTCCGCTTCCTGGCAGCCTGGGCACGGCCAAGCCGCCGCCTCGGCAGCCGGGCTAGGAGCGCTTGTCCAGGCAGGGGCCGCACGGCTCCGCGGGCGCGTGCCCGGGGCAGAGCTTCAGT